TTTTTTTTTTTTTTTTTTTTTTTTTTTTTTTTTTTTTTTTTTTTTTTTTTTTTTTTTTTTTTTTTTTTTTTTTTTTTTTTTTGCATGTCTTGCGATATGGTCACGTTTCTTGCTCCTTGTTTTTTAAAAGTGAAGATTTTTCTGACAGACCAACACGAGTTCTTCCAGCATATTTTGTTCTCACGCACGTGCATTCTAGAAAAATTTGTAAGAGGTCACCCAATATAGAATTACTTTAAGTAAAACACGTTTAACTATGGAGTTAATATGATTGAGTTAACAAAGTACACCTTCCTTTTCAATAATTCAATCATAGGAACTTCATGGTTAAACGTGTTTTACTTGGATCAATTTTATGTTGGGTGACCTGTTAGGAAATTTTCTGGGATGCACGTGAGTGAGGACAAAACATGATGAAAAAGATTCATATGGGTCTGTGGAGATAGTTTTCACTCTTAAAACGCTAGGAGTAGGTAACGTGACTTGTCATAAATTCACTAGCTATACCAATAAGATGCATAACATGAGGGAGCACTCGTGTTAATCTGTGGGGATAGTTTTCATTCTTAAGAAGTGAGCACGTAGTCACCTTACAAAGAATGCAGAGGAATACCGACGTTTTGAATCCTGATCCAAATTCTGGATATGGGGTCGTTAGATACATAAACGAATATAAGAATGATAGGACGTTTGTTTCATAGAGAACAAAACCAACTCGACTCGACCCACTTTGTTTCCATAAGAGGTCAAAACGGACCTAACTTGATTCGTTTTCTTTATTTCCCTACCATTCCTTTCTCCCTCTCTCCAAACTCTTAGGTTTAGAAGCCAAAAAAAACCAATTAGGCATTGAACCAGATGTGGTCGGACATTCAGTAACTAAGATTCGTTCACAAATCTTAATTGGATTTGGTCGGATTACGAAGATTTGTCTTTTTTAATTAATTTTCTATACCACTTGCCTATTAACTGGCGTTTGAGCTTCAATCGCCGGCCACCTAGCCACGTCATTAATTCTTCCAAAATTCCGGCCACCGACCGTTGCCGTCAGCCACCTCACCGCCGGCAGCTGATCCATAAACAACGGCGTCCACTACAACTGAGAAGTAGACCCACCAAAAAAAACTCACAAGCTTCTCTCGTCTGTGGGCATTTTCAAAATAGTGCCAATATAGAAAGAGCCCAAAACAAAAGGCTTGTGTCAAATGTCAGCGATCCCGAGCGCGTCGACGGCGAGGGCGGACGAAGCCGATGAACCAAAACGACCCAAACCAATTTTCGGTCTGCGTCCCTCATTTAGTTTTAGGAACAAAAGAATCAAAATGATTCATAAGATTAGTAGCCAAATAAACGAGTGCCGAACCAAATTGGTAAGATATTCAATAACTAATATTGATAAGTCCTAATAAGATTTGGCATTTCAGAAAGGAAGAGAATGATGGCTGAAAACCTGAATGGATTGGGTCGTTTTGTGCCAAAGATTTGGAGATAAAAATGAAAGAATTTGGTGGAGAACGTAGAGACAAGCCGTAAAGGGGAACCCTAACCCAATTCATATTTTTCGCCCGACTTTGTGTTGAGTTTCTCCTTAGGGCTTGTCGTGAGCGTAACAAGATCACGATACCGCACACTTGAAGAAGTACGATCGTGACACGTAACACCTCGTGTAATAATTCAGATTTCTAACTTTTAAATTATTTCTTTAACGTGCGTAGTTGCCTT